CTTCTCCAGGCTGAACACCCCAACTCTCCCAGCCTGTAAGAGAATAAGAATCTTTCATTATTCATTTGAAGTTTCTTTGTAATCAAGGACAATTTAAAGCTGATTGCAGTGATGGAATTACAGCAGAAGTACTGACATATGTTTATATAATAAGAATTGATTTTTTTTCAAGCAGCCACATTTCTGGTTCCAGCTCTTATCTTCCTTTGGGAGAAGCGTGCTGCTTCTAGAGGATCTTTAAGCTCCCTTCCAACTCAACATGTTCTATGATTATTTTGGGATATTTGGGCAAAATTATTGATGTAGGTCAGATACAGTCACCTGATACTGACTTGTGTGCTTGAAAATGTTGTTTGATGTGCATTTTACTGCCACGTTGTGCTTGGGTTTCTAACACTCAGTTAATAAATTTAAAATATCCCTCCAACATATGAATTCTAATTAATAATTATTCATTGGTAATCTTTTAACAATCAACCACTGGTCATTTATCAACCAACAACTGCACCATCTCAATGCCTTCAAGTGATTTGTTTTAATGAATTCAAGCTCAGAAGAGAGAAACCAGTTTGGTTTCCAGATGTTCAACATGAAACCTTTTTAAAAGAAGAGACAATTACACAGCCTAACAGTCTGAGTTGGGGAATGGAGACTAAAAACAAATCCAGTTGAAAGTGCAGGGGGATTCAGAGGAAAAATACAATTAGTTGATCTTGAAAGAAGCCAGAAACAATGTTTAAAATCTCATGCTTCAGAAATGTGCCTTGGAATCTTTAATGACTGCAGGGTCATAAGACACGTCACGTGTTTTCTGTGTTTGGAAACTAAAAGAAAAAGGTGAAGGAAATAGAAGTTTATTTTTTTTTCTTCCTGATTTTTGAAACATCCTGTGATCTCTCAGAAGTCAGTGTAACACATGCGTGGACGTATGAACTCGTGTAGAACAAAAGCAGAAAGATGAAAGACACCTTTCCAAAATGCAAATCAGTCATCAATGCTTTTTAAGGAGGGAAAAAAAAAAAAGGCTTTTTTTTTTTTTAAAGAAATCAAATGTTCTCTTTCACTTTAATTAATGTGATCTGTGGAAAGAGCCAAAGAAAAACCAGTTTCTTCTGCCTCCTCCAGGCTCTGCAGGATGGTCCTTCTTTTCTGGCAGGAGGTGGCACATGTGCCCTGAGCCACCCCCTTGGCCCTGTGCTCATCCTCAGGCACTGGAATGTTTCAGATCCTGACAGAACCCAGACAGGGAGATAACATTTCTTAAAATACTAAATTTGCATGTTGCTTAAATATTTTACAGTGTTGCCAAAGAGGCTGGAGTCTGGGCAGGCCGTGCAGGGAGGGGAGGCAGAGAGTGGAGAGGATCTTCACGTGCTTCATGTTGTCACCCAGTCCTGGCAGAGCAGCGTGAGGGGAAGTGGGTTTGTGCCAGGAAGACTTCAGCACTTTATTATCCCATGGCAGAGAGCAGGACCAGCTTTAGTCTTCTAAAGATGTTCTTCCAGTCTTCCTTAGGTGTGAAATCTGGGGTTAGTCAAGTTTATGGCATTAAGAAATCGACACTGGACAAATAACAGGATGTGAATATCAGTTCCAGCAGCAGCAGCTTTCTCTAATAGACAGTGACAAGCTCATCAGGGGGAATAAAAGCCCAGTTCAGAAATACTTGTGATGTTAATTAATTATGTATCTATTGCTGACAAAATTAAAGCTGTGCAAGCAGCTCTTTGTGCCAAGACAACTTTGAGATTTGGATACACGTGGGGTTTGGTTTTTTTCAACAAGTGAGAAGTAATTTTTCAAAGGGTTAAGTGAATTGAGAAGTGGATCAAAGAACTTCCAGATTCAGGTTGTGTTCCATGGGATGCACAAAAAAAGTTGTTTTAAATGCAAAGTATTCTTGTCTCATTTGTTGACCATCAACATGACATCGTTGAAAACTCACCACATGTTTTTTGGTCGAGCCAAAGCTATACTTTGGGAGGGATTTTTTTGTCTGAGGACTTAGTGAGATCATAGCCAGGATATTTCTGGGGGCAGGAAAGAGCATCGTTATCATCTCACAGACAGAAGTGGTGAGTCTGAAAGTCTGAGAAGGAAATTACACAGAAGGAAAATAACTCCCAGGTGCCTGCTGTGACTTCAGGGGAGAGCTGGGCTCGTTTCATCCACTGTTGCAAACCTGGCTGGATGTGTTTCATCACCTTCAGAGCACTGGGTTTAATTTGTGGGTTCATCTCAAGTGCTTTAGTTAGCAGAAGTTGATCATCCCTGGACAAATGGCAGCAGCTAATGAGGACGCTGATTTTCTAGATGAGAAGGGGATGAAGGAATCGCTGAGGGAGTGGGAGAGTTTAATTAATTTGGTGGCTTTTGCAGAGGCCTGAGGTGGGAGGAGGGCTCCTTGGATTTGGAGCCAGGTGAGACAACTTCCATTTTTGGGGCCATGTCTCTTGCAAAGCAGCTTGAATCTGGCCCAGCTGAGCCCTCTCACCTCTCCAGTGGCATATTTGGAATCAAACCAAAATAACTTGATGATTCCATTCTATGATCTTCCTTGTACTGACTGGAGTGAGATGCTTGATTGTCAGGCCCTCTAAGCCCATTTCATTAAGCAGTGAGTCCAGCTGAAGGTCACCCTGCCCAACACTCATCATTCCCACTGGCACTATAAATGTGGCTTTGATTCATTGTCTCCTTCTGTTGCTGGGGATGGCAGAGGAGGACAAGCTGACCCCCTGCCCCCCTGCAGGGGTATGAGTCACTGCCACGGCTCTGACGCTCGGTCTGTGGCAATAATTGTGATTTATGCTCTGAAATTGGTGGGGGGAGCCGTGTTTGGGGTTTTAAATCATGGAATCGTTCGGGTTGGAAAAGACCTTTAAGATAATTCAGTCCAACTGTTCCCCCAGCCCTGCCCAGGCCCCACTGCCCCTCAGCACCATCTCCAGGGCTTGGAAACCCCTCCAGGGATGGGAACTCCACCTGGGCAGCCTGGGCAGGGCCTGACAGCCCTTTTGGGGAAGGAATTGTGCCCAAGATCCAACCTAAACCTCCCCTGGCACAGCTTGAGTATCCTGGAGTGAGTCTAGAGGAGGTGACAAAGATGATCCCAGGGCTGGAGCAGCTCTGCTATGAGGGCAGGCTGGGAGAGTTGGGGTGTTCAGCCTGGAGAAGAGAAGGCTCCAGGGAGACCTTAGAGCAGCTTCCAGTGCCTGAAGGGGCTCCAGGAAAGCTGGGGAGGGACTTGGGACAAGGGCAGGGAGGGATGGGATGAGGGGGATGGAT